TAGATAGATAGATAGATAGATAGATAGATAGATAGATAGATAGATAGATAGATAGATAGATAGATAGATATTAGCAATTGGTAAACAAGGATGGCACTGCCAGTAGAAAAATACACTATTTGGTCACCATCTCTTGCTCATTTTGGCTCTCCAAAATGCAGGAATAATGTTAATAAATACCGTTACATGTGGCATGAAACTATTTGAAACATTTTTCCATGTAATTTCCTCCTCTCTGAAAAAATAGCTGACTTCTACGCCATTTAATGCAAATAAAATCAATTTTGACTGAAGTGATTGATTTCCAGCATAGCTTTTGATGTCAATGATAAAATAGAATTTCTTATCTTAACAATAACATGGAGCAGATGTCAGACTGTGATTAATTCTGAGGCATTTTAGCAACAAGGAACAGAAGAAAGGACATAAAATCTCATATAGACTACAATTTTGAAACAATGATTCACAGCCTTGTTTGATAGAAATCAGTATGCATAGAATAGCAGACCAAGCAGTAAGATCAAGTGGCACTTCATCATTTATGTAAATAAATGATGGATTGTTTATTTCCTGATTCAGTTGATATCCTGTTTCTAAAAGATGTTCCCAAGTCAGTGTATAACAATTTAAAAACAAAGGAATCCTGTTAGGTCATGTTAAGGGATTATCCAGCATCCCACATACTAACCAGTCAGATGTTTCCCAGAAATTCACATGCAGTACACAAATCAGCATTTTCTTCAGCAGCCAGGGTTGATTCAGAGAGATTTAGAAGCTGCATTTAATAGGTTTAGTCTAATCTTCAATTTGTCTTGAATTAAAAAGAGCAGAAGAAACCAATCTAGACAGGAGAAACTCATTCCTGTCAAGTCTGTGCCTGAATCCTGGGAACATATGGAGCTCATCATGGTCAGAGCAGGGTACCTGCCAAATTCCACAACAAACACAGCATGGTACTAGGCAATGTTTCTGGTCTTTTGAGAATCTCTGGATTTCCCTTTCCTCTCCCTTCTCTTCTTCCTCCTAGTCTGAAAGTTAGCAGGTAAAGTCTATTACAGACAGCTCATTGCTTTAGTGACCCCTTCTATGAATTATAGCCCCAAATAAACTATGTAAAAATCAGGTTTTGCAAATAAGGACAACTTGAAAAATAGGGACTAGGATAAAAGAGTTGGTTCACAAGAATGTTAGTATAACCCTTGTTTTTCCCAGTGTATCCTTGGTGTAGAAATACAGGTTGCCAATGTTTGTTTTTGTTAACATAAAATATAAACAGTTCACAGAACGGTATGCCAGTAATTTATATGTTGTGGTGGAACAGAATGGTAAATGTTGCCTGCATCTGATGTTTCCATATAAAATGTGACATAAAAACTCATCTGTGTCAGAAAAGACCTGGAATAACCCATTAAATTTTTCAGTGGAATGTTCAAAGGCACTTTACAAAGTTGGCAATGGCTCTGCTTTTATCCTGCAAATGGTGTATTTTGTGTACTAGGGAATATCATCCCACTGATTTCATTCCTCATGTAGTTATATAACACTCCATAGCTACACGAGATGAAAATTAGGCAGACAGCTTAGTCTACATAACAGTGCATCTGCCAAATCAATTTTGCTGTGCTCCTTTTTTCCCTCAGCCTTAAATTTATTCCACCTTGTTTCCTTGCCAGTTGTGTTATTTTTTTTAAGCTGATATGAAGAGCTTTCATATATTTCTCATAAGGTAAATATTTCTATGCATTTCCTCCCCTATGTATTCTTATATATTTTTCCTAAGCAATTTTTTGGATATATAACATATTTTCCCTTATAGACATCTTTCTTCATACTTTTCACCAATATACAAATCAATGAACGTTTCTTAACACTATGAAGTACATCTTAACATTTGAGGAACTGAAAATCTGGGTAAATATCATTGTTTCAGTTCACATTAAGGATTCAAAACTGAACTAAGTAGACATCATAGCTTAGTGGCTTAGTAGCTTCTTTTATAAATAGAAACATTTCTTTCTGTTCTTAAAGTTTTGATTGCAAAGTTTATTAGAGAAAAATCCCACTTTAATGGATCATCTGAGAAAAGCCCATTAAACTTCACTATTCATTAATTTGCAATTTATTTATTTTTATTCCATTTACCCATATTATTTTTATAAATAACTCCAGGCAGCTAACATACATATCACTCCCTCATCCTCCTATTTTCCCCACAGCAACTCTGTGAAAAGACTGGGTGATTTCTTTCACTATATGACATAACAGAGCATCAATATGAAATAATATAATTATAATGCCTCATTCAAATTATGGGCTTTGATGCAAGAGGCTGGTCCATTATTTCAACAGAGCATCTGGGCAGAATATGTGGTCTGTTGCATCAGAAGTCTGCCAAATGGACAATCTGTTAAACTGAGGCTTTAAATTCATTAGGGTTGGATAGTATTTTGAATTTGAAAGCAAAAGGCTGCTTCCTTAAAGGAACTGCATCATCTCCCAAGAGTTGTAGTGTAGTGCATGAAAGTATAAGCTGTTTATAAGAATTACAGACAGATGCTACATGGGCTGTCCTTGCATCATTCTGCCTTCAAATCTGTGGTCATGTACACTCCTAATATTCATTACACCAAGGCAGATGGGGGAGAAAACGTATTGGAGAAAGCACCATGATGAATATAAGTGAGGAAGAGGAGGGGCTTCTGTAAGGAGCAGGCAGCATTAATCCTCTGTTTGTGAAATGGCAGAGAGCAAGCCAACTGCCTTCAAGATGCCTCCTTTGAAATGTCAAGTTCAGAAGACACAGGAGACCAGCAGCCAAAGAAAACATGTAGAAGCAGGAACAACTAAACCAGCTTCTGTACTATGGACAACAGAGTTTGAGAGAATCGTTTGTGATGGCAATTCATTCCAACATAACATCTGTCTTTCTTTTGTATTACATAGTATTTTTGACATTTTTTATCAGTATATATTTATGGATTTCAAATTCCCTGAACTCTGAATTTTATATTTTCAATTCTTGGGGTTTTTTTTGAAATTTTTCCGTAAGCAGATATTTCAGTGCAGATTTAAAATGGTAATGGGTTGGTATTTTTTTGTTTATTTGGCTATAAATATTTGGCTCTATAGAGCCACCAAATCAGGAAATACTAAGTAGCTTAACTGAAAAACTCAGTAGTCAGCCTACAACACGTATGAAAACTAAATTTTACTATGTGGAAATACATTTTAAAAATTATCTTAGTCATCCCTCATCGGTCTTCACTTAGTGGAATCACAAAACATTTCACTTCACAATTTGAAAAGCCAGATTTGGTCAATAAAAGGAAACATATGTTATTCTTTTTCCATTATAATAATTAGCATATGAAATGGCTAATTATTACAGCTGAAAAAGGAAGTTGAGGAAATTGAAAAAGAAAATACTTCATATAACAGAAGTAAAGGAGTTAATATAAAACATATGAGCACATTTCATGGGATAAATTGCATTCTTTGGAAGAAAGAGTAGGCGTTAGAATTTGGGGATCTATGTTGTATACATTTGAAAATCAGGTTCTTTGAACAGGAGTCAAGTTTAGAAAGCATGCATTTTGAAATTAGTCTTGAGTACCAGAACTGAACTGTCTGTGGGCCTTATCCTGAATGCATATACACACACACACACACACACACACACACACACACACACACACACAATAAAAGATTACAAGCAAATCAAGATAGCACCAAAAAAAAAGCATTTCATACTTTTTTTTAACAATGGCTAAGTGGAATTTAAAAAATTGATTTGTAGTCTTTTAAATAGTTGGAAAAGTAGTTAGAAATGTGTAACTAGTTATATCTTATTTGAGTAAAAATCACTGGCTTCCTAGAATGTTTTTGCTTTTCTTTGTGAGAAATTTGTGAGATATATTTAAAGGATTTTTTTCTCCTCATTTCCTTTGAAACAAAAGGAAAAGTCTTAATTTAATTTTGTGTATTATCTATAATTTTTTAGGATGAAATTTTAACTGTCATCCGGAGAGTGGATGATAATTGGGCAGAAGGAATGCTGGGAGATAAAATTGGAATATTCCCTATTCTTTATGTGGAGGTAAGCTCAGATTATCTTTGTGCTTTTTTGTTGAGAGAAAAAGCTTGATTGTTTTAACTTGTCGTTTGATTTTTAGGGTGAAATCTATATAATTCTTTTGAAGGTGAATACAAAGTGCAGGATTTTTCTGTTACCCTGACATGAACACATAAACATATATGCACACACACACACACAAACAGGTCATTTATCACAAATGCACTTTTGAAAACTCATAGACTTTTCTGGGAAGAATATCCTGCCCATTTTAGTTGATCATTTTGAGAAATATAAACCAACAAAGACAAAATTTCAGTTTGAAAGTTTACTTTCAGTTACTGTAGAATTGAATTTACACTTGCTTGAAACTGTACTTTTTTCTCTCTCTGCTGTTTTCCATTTCTATGAATGTCTAGTGTACTGAATTCTTCTCTAATCCAGGTAGTTGCTGTTTTTTGAAGACGCAAGTTGCGAACCAAGCTAATCCTGTAATGGAATGATTTATTAAAAGTGAGCTTCTCCAGGAAAATTCTTATTCATAGCAGCCTTTACATATAAATCAAATCTACACTTGTAAGCTGTTTGCACCTGATAGTGCTGCAATTTGTGAAACTTCTAATTCACATTGCAGGCTGTAGACTTTCAGTAGTATAGTGTGCCAATACTGATCATAATGTTTAGTCAAACTGCATGCATAATTCCCACTCCACTCACAAGTTTATTTCTACAGTGCATAAGGAAACTTGCATGTAACAATGAAGTGTGACAGATAGAGTGAATAGTTTATCACAAGTTAATTAAGTCCCAGTTTCTGACATCGCCAGTAAGGGCTTCTTAATGAATATATTATGAATATACTGTTTGAGTTTATTATACTGAAACAACATTTTGTTGATTGTGAATTGCAACTTATGTAATATAATGATTAATATGCTGGAATGGAATGGGAAGATCTAATCATGATCTGTTTATGTTATATAAGGTAACTTAAGGCCAATCATGCTATCTCGTAGGAATGTTATAAAATGAGTGGAAAACCTACATGCACAGCCTTCACCTCATAACATGACAGTTACATGTAATAACATGTAAATAAAACTCTCAAAATAAGTCCTTCCCACTGTTGTAACCTGTCCCTCAGATATAAGGCACCACTCTCTTTGAAAGACCTGAAGGGGAAAAAAAATAGCTGCCTGCATATTCACAACAGCAGTACAGTATTCAATATTATGCAAAGCACCAAGGATATAAATTCTTCAGTGACAACAACTATAATTTTTTAAATTATGTTTTAGCAACTGTTATTGAAACATTGACTGCTTATGGTAGTGTAATGGCTGCTGATGTTCTGTACTCATAATGTTAGATGCAGGCAGTTTATTTGATTAAATGATACGTGGTGGGAATTTTCTTGGCTGTTATGCTCCTGTTAATCAATGCGCTAGGACTAAACTAATTATTGTAAAGAAATCTTCAGGGGATTGTTCGGTCAAAAATATTCTGAGAATTTATTCTTACTTGTTTTGGCAGTCTATAATGTCATTATGAAAGGAGGAACTGCACAAACATTTTAAAATTATAGTTACTAGTTAATATTTTGCTCTTTTAAAATCTGGGGAAGAAGCTGAAATTTTCAATGTCCATCTTTTGTAGGATCCTACTATTTCCCATAGTGTCACATTCTGTTCCATCAAAGATGTTTGGAAAGAAGCCTAAAATATTCTGGAAAATATTCAATATTGAAATTCAACATAATGCAAGCACAAGGAATAAAGTCAAACTTTAGACTTTAAGAGAACTGATTTTAACAAACTTAGATGATTCCTATTATTCTCAGGAATAGAAATATTTAATAAGTCTGAATTTTTTTCAGTCTTACATAACTTTCAGCTCTTTTCGTTGAACCACAAACAATGCCCAATGTGCACTTACACATTCTCTTATTGGCAGTGTAACTCATAAATGTAGAAATCTGCTTTTGAATAAATTCTTCAAGCTGTTCAGTAGTCACAGCTGCAAAATAGAATTTCTATTAATAAAAGAAAATTTTCTTGAGCCACGTACAAGACAATATAATTAGGTCCAACATGCAGATTTGCAAAGGTGTCTATCAAACTTGGTGAATTGGATTTTTAACACACATGCCATGTACAAAAATCAGTTAAGGCTTAGTTGTTCTACTCATATTCACAATATTTAATACTGACCACTAACTACTATTGTTCAAAATGGAGTAATATCAATCAGTTATTGGAAAATTTTTAGTAAAGGGTAGAATCAGAAAAATACTTTATTGGTTGAATTTTACCAATATTTTTTAAAGATTATTTACAATGATAAATTGTACATTGGGACTGCCAACAAAGCTTAGTTTTCACACAGAAGCCTGTATAAATTAAGCCTGTAAATCCAAAAATGAGATCACTGGACTGTATTACATTGTGAAATAGCTGGATTATACTAGCTGTGAGTAAATCACATCTCAGCAATATTAGTATATGTTTTGTTATGGTAGTTTAAGGTGAAGGAATTTAATAGTCTGCTCAAGGATTTTATGTCTCCCCTAAATGTCTACAGCTTGTCAAATATGAAATTAAAGGTATATTATTCAATATTATATATTCATAGAAAATAGTATTCTTGAGGAATATTATCCACAAAAAATATAGGTTTCTACTTAGGTAAAATATTACCTGTAACATTTCCTACTCAAACATTATAATTGCTCTAGGGAAGAAAAAAATATCTTGTTCACTGTCAGGGGATTAAATGCTTACTGTTGCTATATGCATTATTTATTTTCTTTTTACAAACTCATGGATGCTATCCTGTCTTAAACACAGACTGCTTTGATATGCATTCTTTTTGGAATTTACTTCTAAACAACCTTCCTGGTAAATAACAAAGAGGCTATATATAAAGATCATAGTAAATACATATTGTTTGATGTTGGAGAACATAATAGTTAGGTCAGAATTTCTACAAATATTAATATAAGAATGTAAAAATTAAAAAGTATATATGCAGGAGTACTGAACACTAGCATCAGAATACTCAAGTAAATATAAAAGTATTGTGTAAGTGTAAACATGTATAATTCTTTTTTTGTGTGTGCATAAATAACTTTTTCTGAGCTCTTGAAACAGAAGTAACTGACACCTAGGAGGTGGATTAGCAAAGAATCTGGGTTTTTAATCCACAATCACAACCTAACAGGAAATTAATATGTTAAAATCAATTAATTGTACTTATTCTTTACCTGAAACAAGATATGTAAACATTACACTATATGTCTTGATACTGTAGATTCTCTCTAAGTTATTGTAATGGAGACTGAATGAACCTTTTGTGAAATGTTCTGCATTTGCAGAACATTTAAATTAACACATTCAGTATAGAATGGATGCAGCTCAGTCTCACAATCATCATATCTTCCTTTGTCATTGGTAGAAGACAGGGGCGGGATTCTACTGGTTTGGACCAGTTCTATAGAACTGGTTGTTATGATTCTGCGCAGTTCGGAGAACTGGCAAATCATGCCCCTGGCTGGCCCCTCCCCTTTCTGCCCGCCGGTCCCTGCCCAGTCAGTCTTTATCGCGCATGCGTGACATTGCATGCATGCCTGACATCACTGACTGTGTTCTCCACCTCCCACTCACTCCTTAAGGTATTTCTTTTTTTTCCCCTCCTGTGATCAGCTGTTCCTATGATCAGCTGTGCCGGGATTCCCCTCGCTATCTTACTGCTTTGCCCAGGAAGCCTCCCTGAGGCCTGGGAAGGCAAAAAATGGAGGGGAGAGCAAAAACACCCCCCAGGAGCCTTCCCTGAGGCCAAAAGGCCCAAAAAATGGGGGGCTGCAAAAAAAAGAAGCCATACCCACTCAGTGACATGACCACACCCACCTAGCCACGTCCACAGAACCAGTTGTTAAAATATTTGAATCCCACCCCTGGTAGAAGATTCAAATAAATTGGACCCTTGGAAATGAGTTGTTTTCTTTTTAAGTTCAGGATCACCAATAAAGATGAAACAAATACAATAGTATGTTAAGAATACAAGTACAAGAGATATATTATAGTAGATTAGTTGATTCTTATTGGAAATGATATATTCTTCCCATTATAGAAGTCCATGGAGTACAGATTTCCCCTATCATTTAAAGAGCAAGGCATATTAACAAAGAAATGATGATTTGTTTTTTTCTGGTGAAACTAGAATAGAGGCTGCTGCTGCTGCTGTGAGAACCGCTTCAGCTCAGTGGATGGGTAGCTTTGGACTAAAGTGTAAAATAATTTATAGATTTAATAAAAATCACAAGATGTTTTAAAATAGTTGAGAAGTATATATATCATTTATAAATAGTTTAAAACAATTAACGTAGCCCATATGTGGTTTTCAAAAGAATCGCTTTCAAAGTTAGATAGGCAGCATATAAATTAAATAAATAAATAAATGTTCTAAACCGTTTTTATAAAAAAAAAAAGGATGATCACTCATAATCTTCTGGGAACCTGTGAAGATCTGTCTATTTCAGAAAATCTCTGGGAACTGGATCTGTATAATCTGGGAATGTTGTTCTGACATAAGAAATCGAATTATGGGTATGGGTAAAGACGATTACATCATGGATAACACTGATAATATATCTGCCGTTGATTGTCTAAGTGATTCTATGAAGGTTTTTTCACAATTGAGAGAGGTTGTTGGAATCTGAATGGGGAAGAAAAGGCTTTGGCTTATAGTCCTAGCAAGACTAAGTGGCTGTGGGTTTTAAGACTGATCAGATCTGAGATTTCCCATTTTTGAGTCTGGATTGTTTCCCTAACACGTGTTGTTTCAAAATTTGCTGTCCCTTTGGGACTTACAGTTCGTGTTTTAAGGAACAGATAGCAACTGTGGCCTGGAAAGCCTTTAGCAAAAAGCTAAAGATTTTGATTTTAGAAAGTTTAAAGGGACTAAGAATCCCAATAAAATTGGACTATTGAAACATAAATGGTTGCAGCATCCTTGGGGTCATGAATGGCTGCACTTATCTGAGAAATGTGAATACACCTTTTACAGGTACTCCTTGACTTACAAGCACCATTGAGCAAATTCATGTTGCTTAGAGAAACACTTGTTAAGTGAGTTTTGCCCTGTTTTACAACCTTTCTTGACACAATTGAATCCGGCTTCCCCATTGTCTTGTCAGAAGGTCACAAAAGCTGATCATGTCACCCCAGGACACCGCAACTGTCATAAATATGAGCCAATTGCCAAACATCTGAATTTTGATCACGTGACCATGGAGATGCTGCAGTGGTCATGAGTATGGAAAACAGCCATAAATCACTTTTTCAGAGCAGTGACTTTGGTCACTGAATGAACTGTTATAAGTTGAGGACTAGCTGTAACTTAAATAGTAACTATGATGAAAAAAAAACTATAATTAAACAGACATTAACAACAGATGCATGGGTCAGCCAGTTCCAGTTTCTGAATGTTGTTCAAGAATAATGTATTGCAATAGTCTACCTGGGAAATGATTAAGCTATGAGTAACCATGAACAAAAAGCTTCCCAGTCCAGGAACATGCAAATTTGCATTCAAAATGGATCTGTGCAAAGCCTTTCTTGGACACAGTTGCTGTCTGTTCTTTAAAACGTGAACTGTAAGGACCACCAAATTTTCAACCAACACAGTTTGGAGAAAGGATATTTCATTGGACCTACAAAAGACATTGGTTTTTAAAAGTGGTGGGTTTAAATTAAAAGGGAAATACTAATGATAATCCAAGAGAATGACCTGGGTATTTTTTTTCTATTGGATTTACAAAAGAGAGGAGGGAGGGAGGAAATCTCTTTATATATATCTCTGTATGTTTAGGATTTGCGTGAAGAAATGTCTCATTACAGTGATGGAACTGTAAATTTTGCGCTATAGTAATCGCTCTGTAATGTCCCTTTCTCTTTGTTATTGTATGGCACAATGCTTGTATGACAGGACTACTCTAATCAATAAATAATAACTTCAGCTTCTCAAAAGAAGACTAATTCATCAGTGTGATTTCTGATCATTGAACAAACTGCATGGGAGGAATTGGCTTTTCTGATAACAAAACATCTATGTGATAGAATATTTTTATTTTATTTTTATTCAAAATAAATAGCACAGCAACTGTGTTTTGTACTCTGCTTCTAAGAAAGAATTCTGATAATCTCATATACATTTAACTAACAGTAAGTTCTAGCTGAATTTAAGTGAACTGGAAAAACATTACACTGATATGTGCAAGTTAAAGTACTAGCAAAATTTCATTCTTACACTGATTGGCTTCTGTTGTTTATTCTCTCATTTGATGATGGAATTTGAATTGTGTAGATATTCAAAGACAATACCTTTGTAATGTCCTCTTTTCCCCTTCTTTTTCATTTCTTCTTTTAGCTCAATGAATCAGCTAAGCAGCTTATTGAGATGGACAAGACCAATGTAGCTGCTGCATCTGGCAATGATGTCTCTTTGCCAGTTGACACAAACCTGGCAGTAAGCACAGCCCAGTGCTGCACACTGAATAGTGCTGGAGCAGTCAGTGCCATTCAGCGACATATTGACGGCAAAAAGAATGCTAAGAAGCGCCACTCCTTCACAGCTCTCAGTATGACCCACAAGTCCTCCCAGGCCTTGAATAATAGGCATTCCATGGAGATTAGTGCTCCTGTTCTGATAAGTTCAAGTGACCCCCGGGCTGCGGCCAGAATTGGAGATGTGGCTCATCTGTCCACAAGTGCGCCAGTCCAGGTAAACTTTTAATTAATCACAATACTCAGTCAATAATGGGAGAGACCAGATTGAACTGACTTCATGTGCTTTGGCTATTACATTACAATAGAGGAATTGGATGGCACAAGTCCCCAAAATAAACTACTGCTATTATTATTATTCATTGGACAATTAACCAGATGTTCAGACTGAGTTTGGCATTTTTGCTTACCTATTGAGTCCTTACCAAGGACCTGGGATAGGCAAATCTGGATGTTTGATGGTGTTACAGATATCGCCGCAGGATGGAAGCTATTCCAAGTAAATTGCCTTTTGCAATTGATGGATGGCAAATTTGTCGATACCTATGGTATTCAAGTGGGGCTCCATTGTTTTGGGACTGCACCCAAGGTGCCTATAACTATTGGTACCAGTGGTGGGATTCAATTTTTTTTATTACCGGTTCTGTGGGCGTGGCTTGGTGAGCATGGCAGGGGAAGGCTACTGGAAAGTCTCCAGTTAGAGGTGGCATTTGCCGTTCTCCAAACTTCTTAAAATTTCCACTACCAGTTCTCCAGAACTGGTCAGAATCTGCTGAATACTACCTCTGATTGGTACTACCCTTGCTTGCTTTTGCCATAGTTGTTCTATTTCTAGATCTTTGTATTTTGTTATCTTCCCCAGTTCTTTCTCTTCTATTCTGCTTTATTATTGTTGTTGTTGTTTGTTGTTAATCTTTGGAGAGATTCACAGCCTTTGGGGCTGGTTGGTAGATCAACAGCTCGAGTCCTAACCAAGGATCTAGGAACTCTTAAGGTAGCGTCAGAGGATATAAGCTATTCCAAGTAGGGTGTTTTTTGTAGAATCAGGCTATTACTATTATTATTATTACTATTAATATTAATAATTTCTTTTCCTACTTCTCCTATTCCTATCTCTATTTCTCCTACTGCTCCTACTTCTATTCATACCTCTACTTCTCCTGTCATTTTTTAAAAAACAAATAGAAAATATAAATCCATTAAGAAGAAAAACGATGAAATAACTCTATTCTATAATTTCTTTTTATTTGTAGTGCTAGGAATTCTTCCCCACTTTCTCCCAGAAGCAAAATCATCATATGCTGCTCATCCAATAGAAAAAGGCACATAGTCAAAACATTGTTCAGGAATTATCCTGAAGAAAGAACAGAATGCCCAGTTGACTTGGCTTAGATATGTTATTGAGGATTTGTCTGTGTGGTATGTTTTCCATGTGATAGATGCAACATAATAGATTCTTAATGCACTTGTTAGCCTTTATTATCAATACATTAAAAATTCTGTAACATTATTGGATCGTACCACTAACATTCTGATTAATCAGTCCCATTTCATTGTGTTCTTCTTGGGGGTTTTTTGCATTATGCTTACAGGATTTGTACCTGTTCTGATAGTTTCCACATTCCACTGAAAAATTCTCATATAAGCAGTTGGGGATATTTCCTAGAAAACGCCTTTGGCTCTGTACAGCTAAGTGACATAAATCTGTTTTAAAAAATCTGTTTCAAGAAAATGTCTACTGTTGATTGAACACCATATTTTGGGACATTTTTGGAGACTGAGCAAATACATTTGTCTTTTCTCAAAATCTAAGGGCTGGTGTTAGCATCAAAGGCTTCCAAGGTCTATCATTAATGGCTTTTAAGCATTTTTAAAAAGATTTGTGTTCAGTTTCAGTGGGAATGGTATGGATTTGTTTTGACTTTATCCTTTAACTGGTATTTTAGTTATTACACATATTTTGTGCTTTGGTTCTAATTATATGAGAAGATAGATGATAGATGGATGGACGGTAGGTAGGTAGATAATGCTTTTATTTAAATGCTTATAGGGAGCCAGCATGATACTGTATAGCGGTTAAGGTGCTGGACTGGAGTAGGAAAGTCCAGGTTCTGATCTTCCACAGGCACAGAAGACAGCTGAGTGATCTTTGGGCTACCTCTGAAGCTTAATTAGTTTCAGTCTCTGCAATAAGCCAGTTGTTAAACAAAGTTTTGTGGTAAAAAACGAGGCAAGTGCAGTGCCAAAATCAGTTGAAAAATACTAAGAAAAAGAACTTTTTAAATAAATATTTTCAAACTTTTCATATATATTACAGATGTGCAGATTTGAAAGCAAAAAAAAGGATTTGGAGCCTGCGGGGCCATAAACAGCATATTTCTAGAACTCCTTAAATCAAATATAAGATTTCCCACGATTGTGCAGCAGCTGCAGAGGGATAATCATGGAATTAGGGTTCAAAATAGTTCAAAACATCTGGAACATATAGATGCCTACAGTACTTCTGATTTGTATGAAAACAAAATTAAGATTATTATTATTATTTGATTAATGTCTTATAATGATAGTAAGTGCTGCTACTACAGTACTATTACTTTTGTAATACTTTTCAAAGCTGATATATATGACATAAAACCTTTCGGTCTGTGTGTGTTTGTGTGTGTGAGACAGATCAACATTAGCAGGAGAACTTAACACTCCCAATCTTCCTTGCAGTTATACAAATACTTCTGGGTTCAGCCCCAGTGAATTCTGTAGGACTTATTTCTGGATAAAGAGGTTCATGATATTTATAACATTTCTTTTTTTCCTATATTGGGTATTTACCTAATGGCTATTGTTATATAGACCAATGTGCATTGAGTAAGAAAGCTTTTAAACTTTAATAAAAATGTAGAAGCATGCATTGAAAATTACTATTTCTACTAATCTATACATCAGAATAAAATAAGCTTAAAAAAAAAAAAAGGACTCTGCCTAGTGTTCTTTACATGGCCCTTATTTACACACTTCTGTTTTCCAAGAGCATATGGAAGATTTACAATTCAGTAACAATCGCATGTCCTGTCCAAAATGGACTGGTTGTATTGCTCCTTTCATATAGGAGTAGCCAAGACTGTGATACAGGGAGTCCTTTTAGCCAAGTAAAAAGGTTTGCATAAACCAAAATTGGCTTTAAATTGCCCTCTCCCATACATACAGTGATGAACAGGCCATAGCAGCTTTTATGTGTTGTTTTGCAAAATGCTTTTATGGCTCCCCTAGGTTTAAAATGCAAATTGTGATGTGGAAAGCTTCTGTTAGAAGTGGGGTAATAAAATAAAATCCTCCTAAGGGAGCAAAATCAAGTTTACAAAAAAATAAAGGGTGCATATTTTCTTTATGCAATCATACATACTCAAAGATACAACCATATGGAGAAAGACTAATATTGTTTTATAAAGAACCAGCAGCAGCCATTTTGTAAGGCTGTGGCTTTTTAAAAAGGAGCTATAAATGCTATTTCCACTATGTAATCAGTGGGTCCAGACTTAATGTTTTACTGTTTAGTGAGTAGAATGCCTGGGTAAACAATCGTAGGTTAAAAAAAAAACTCACTGTAACCAACCCTTAAAATCCCTGTTCCCTCGATTGCAACAAACCAAAATCTACAGATCTCTTCCAAATCCTGTTGCAGGGACAAAAACACTAGTTTGGTTCACTAATAAACCTTATTACCTAAGGAATATTTTCTTCTTTCTGTGGTACTATCTAGAATGTGAAAATTGGAACCATATGAAAGGCCATCCAAATTTGACACAACCATTCATTTCTATATTCACATATGTATGGCAATGTCACAAGTTACCAGGGGTGGGAAATTCCATCTTTGATGGAAAATTTTATGAAAAAAATGCTTAATTCTCAAAATGAGTGGGGTATTGTGTTACAGAATGATAATGGAAAGCAGGAGGACTCCTGTGAATTCCAAGCACTGAGAGCTGGTTGTGGAATTTCCCCATAATGGCAATTTACTAATCAAAGCTATGATTGTAAGGTCAATTTAGTTTATATATAGTCTCTGCTATAACTTAGAAGTTGATCCTAAATTCAAGAGCTGATTACCCCCCAGCCTGTGCAGTTTCCTAAAAAGATCTCTTTGAGCTGCTGTAGAATTAATTCTCATGCCCGGGACAGGTGTGTGCATGTGTATACACGCACCCACAAACACATGCGCATACACATGCATACACAGTGTGCAACCACAATTGAGCCCCAAATTTTCTATTGCTAAGTGAAATAGTTGTTAAGAGAATTTTTCCCCATTTCACGACCTTTCTAGCCAAAGTGATTAAGTGAATCATTGCAGTTGTTAAGTTAGTAACACAGTTGTTAAGTGAATCTGGCTTCCCCATTGACTTTGTTTGTCTGAAGGTTGCAAAAGGTTATCACATGAGCCCAGGACACTGCAACCGTCATAAATATGAATCAGTTGCCACGTGTCTGGTTTTGGATCACATAACCATGAGGATGCTCAAATGGTCATGAAATGTGAAAAGCTGTCATAAGTCACTTTTTTCAGTGCCATTGTAACTTCAAATAGTCATTAAATAAACTGTTGTAAATCAAGGATTATCTGTATACATCCTTGGAGTCAGTCACGCCCTAATCACCTCCAGATTGCATCGTTGCAATGCGCTCTAACGGGGTTGCCCTTGAAGAGTATTTGGAATCTTCAGCTGGTTATTTATCTTTCAGTGTGGATTTTTTATATCTCTATATCTGAGATATAAGAACAAATATAGATATAAATATAAAAACAAATATACAAACCCAAAGCAAAGAGAGAAGTATAGCCATCTCAGCAATGGAGCCATTGAAGCATGTATTCATTTCTCCGGCAGCCCCAGGCCTAATAACATAACCTCGCCTTGAGGGACTTCTGGAATATCAAAATCAAATCTCATATAATCTCAGGGGGAAAGAAACTTTTATTAGGTGGGCATCACAGTAGAGATTCCACATCTCCTGGGACCCACCAAATACAGGTTTCTAGTTGATGGTACCTGCAGCATTCCTTCTCAGCCATCTCTAGTGGAATGGGCTGATTAACTGGGGGAGAAAGTCCCTCAAATAGCCCAGTTCCATGCCATGAAGGGCTTTAAAAATTAAAACCAACATCTTGAATTGAACCTGGAAGCAAAATGGCAGCCGATGTAGCTTACAGAGCTCAACTTT